TTCCAATTCTGTCCCCCAGGTGAGGCCAACAGTACCTTCCCAAGAGAGCAGAACCTCCTCATACCAACATTTAACTTCCCCGCAACATTCAAAGTGCCACAGGGACGCTTTGCCGGGGCTCTGCTTCCCTCAACCTTGTCCCCATCCCTTACCCCCTTCACGCTCCCCTCCAAACCCACCCTTACCTGCATGTATCACAGGAGGAACTAGAAAGGACTGACGTGAGTACCATTCCTAAACTGATTAGTAAGTTTTAGGCATAAGGCTAGGGGAGGTAGACTTCAGTACCTCAGAGACCAACCCCTTTTGCAAGGTCCAGAGAAAATAATCTGAGGCCTGGCATCAGTGCATGGTAATTTTTACCTTTTTTTTTTTAAATTTTTTTCCCTCTTTTTTTTCTTTTTTTTTTCTTTTTTTTTTTTTTTATTTGTGGGGAGGAGGGTTTTCTGTGCTTGCTGGTGGGCTGACGTAGCCTTACAGCTTCAGACTACCTTCAGACCACAGTTGGGAAAAGCTGCAGACTAAATAATAGCAGTCTTAGAGAAAAGAAAATGGTGGAGTAGTGTCAGCAAAAGCCAAATAGCTGTTCCTTCTCTTTCAGCAAGCTGCAGTCCTCACACATAGCTATACTTTGAAAAAGAAGGTGCAGTGGAGGCAGAAGCATCATAGAACCATAGAATGCTTTGGGTTGGAAGGGACCTATGCTCCTGCTATGTTTTCATGCAGCAACAGCTTACCAAAGTAAACCATCTAACAGGCTTAGGGTAGGCAGGAAAAGGCAATTTTGCAGTATCACCCAGCGTCTGCAACCTCTACACTCCCCACACACCCAATGTGAAAAAGAGTCTAAGCAACAGAGCGTGACCACTTGGCTGCCTCAAGTTCAATATCAGTTCAGGCTTCGCAGTACCAGCGCAACCCGCCGAACACAATGTCACCAGCTAACTCCCTTGACAGCGTGGACAAAGCCGTGCCATAGCCCTGCAGGCTGGCTCAGCGCGTACCTCGCCTCTCCTGCGCTTTCTCCTCCAAACAGCAACTCCCCTATGCTTCCAGGGCATTTGGGGATCAGGTGCCAGCCTCCTCCTGCTGGGCTACTCATAGGCACCCACCAGCTGCGAAAGGCTCTGCCCCACATGGGCCGCTGAACTGCCGAGACCTGAGAAGGTGCTAGGCTGAGGAAAGGCAAGTGTGGAAAAACCCAGCTTGGGGCTGTTCTCAAAGGGCCTTCTGACTCCGCAGGTCGCCGCCACTTGGGATGAGGGACCCAACCGTTCACCCCTTTGAGGAGCTCCTGCGTGGCCTCTTTTTCCAGGTGGGTTGCTTGGGTTAGGGAAAGGAAGGGCAGGACAGCCAGGGTATCGAGGCAGAGTCTGAAGTGAGGATGAAGCTTGGAAGGGCAACATGGCTCTTTCCTGTTCACACGGAGAAGCATGGAGCAGAAGCTGCTCATGCTCTGCTTCAACTTCCTTCCCCGCAGCACTCAAAAACCCCACAGGCAGTACCTTCCCAGGCACCACTTCCCTCAGCCCTGCTTCTAGCCCTTGCTCTACACTTTCCTGGCAGCATCACAGGAGCAACTGGAAAGAAGTTGAGGGGAAACCCTCCTTTCCCTCACAGGAACGTATGCATTTCTGCCTTTTGCCGGCCATAGCTAGTTGCTGGCTGTTAGGGGAAGGTTGGACGAGGCTTTGGGTTCTCATCACGGCTTTTGCACTGGGGAGGCAAGAGGCTTGCAAATGCTTGCATTTTCTCTATGTTTCTGGGCAGAAGTCGGCCATCCCACAGCTGTTGACCAACGCAAGGAAGGGTCTGCTCCTGCCCCTCGCCCTGTGATCCAGCAGGCAGGGCACAGGGAACATAAGCGTAGGAAGGGTTGGAACTGCTCCTACACGCAACAGGAGCAAGGAGCGAACACCCCCTTTGACCAGGGTTTCACTGTTCAGGGCTTCCTCCCTCTCATTCATTCCTTGCTTTTCCTTGTACTAGCCTGCACTTTTCTTCTCAGTTCCATTCTTCCATGCCAAACTGCAGCTTGAAGAGAACGGGTTTTCTCCCCTCCCAGTCCAGTTCCTAACGCTCCTTTCTGCCACTTCCCAGAGAAGTTCTGTTACTCCAGGGTATAGCAACCCCTTGGCAAGTCGAGGAATTGGGATTCCTCCAAAGGAATTCAAGGAAGACAGGGAAATAGTGCTGTTACAGTATTTCCCTGAGAAACTGAAACAAGACATGTCCAAGGGACAGAAATCACTTTTATTAAAAACATTTTAAAAGGTTATTTATAAAATGCATTTCATCATCTGCACTTGGAAACAATTCATGAACATACAGTTGGTGAGGCACCTTAACTTTCAAAATTTTGACTCACAAAACAAGCTTTAGCTCTGTATCTTTATTACACACCTAACACCACGGACAACCAAACTCAGATTTCAAGGATTGTTTGTAGAAAGATTTCAGCCTTAAAACATCAATTTGTTTAGATACTTTTGGTAAGCAGCGCATGTGCATATCTGGAAATACCCACTTAGTACAGTGGACTCATCTTTAAAATTCAATGGTTTGTGCCAAAATACAGTACTAAAATCAAAAGACACAAAATAAATTACTTGACTACAGAATTCACAAAACAGTTATTTAATAAATAAGGATGCATTGTGAGATATCTAATGTACAGTAAATTCTTTACTAAAAAAAATCTGTACAGAAATCTGAATAAATAGCCTTTTGCGATTTTTTTTTAAAAAAACAAGTAAACAACTCACCCTTCCTTTACAATTCCCAGATTAACACTGAAGATTTAACTCCTCCTGAGTGAAGGAGTATGTGAAAGAAAAAGAAAAAAGTACTTCATTTATTTGCATTGAGAGTTTAACAGTTTAAAGTTACTCCCACACTCCTATCTAACTTGCCCCAAAACTGCAAAAAGCTTTCAACAGTTTAACTTCATTGTGATGTGGTTCTATTTTTGTACAGGTCTGCTCATTTTACACAGTACATTAAAAAATGAAGACTAAAGACCTACTGTAACTCCAGCAGACTTTGAGATTCATTTACAGCAGGGCAGAATGAAAGGCCCCAATGACTCCAAAGACACCGGAATATATGTTAAATTAAATACATACTTTTATATCTGCAAAGCAAGGCCCCAAACAGCAACTGCGTATGAGAACTGTACTGTATATTGGCATTCATCCATGATTTCTGAAGAGGCACTTCTTTTGATGCAGGAGTTACCGCAGGACTTACCACTCACTCTTTATACTGTGCAACATTTTCTTTTGAACACACTATCACATGTGACTGGAAGTTCCATGCACACTTAGAGACAGGGTCACTTTCAAAGAGGAACTAAGGAAACAAAAATCCTCAAATAAAAATATCACTTTGGTTTTCAACTCACAGAAGTTAAACAGATGTTAGCAATACTTTGGGAATCCTCTGTGAAGTTAAACAATGCTGATGGAATGGTTGCGTGCAACTACGATTCAGTTTAAATTGGATTACTTCAAAGATATGTTTAGACAATAGCTATGCAAACAGCTGAATCAGCACAACTGATTTATGGCAGTGCCATAAATCAGGCCTACTGCCAGGAGAATAATAAGCCTGTTTTAATATAGTCATAGGTTAAACAATAAATCTATGCCCCACACTTTATCTTGGCAAGCTTAATACAAATAAAATTATTCTGGAGCATACAAGAAAATGCTTAGAACCACCTGCTACTAGAGCTTGCCTGATTAAGACTGGGTTGATGGATGTTGAAGCCAGTCTTAGCTGAATGAAGTGTTTTCATTAAGTTCTACACAGATAAAAGAATTCAACTGGCCTTTAACTATTGATTTAACCCTCCAAAGAGAGCAGAACTGTCACCAATTTTTTTTTTTTCAGATCATTAAGTTTTGGGGTTTTTTTCCTCCTCATGCATTTGCTAGATAGCTGGGCAGCAAACTATTTGCCTAAAGTCCTAAGTAGTGCTACCTCAAATCCTGAGTTACACACACTGCTTCCTTCCCAAAAGAACAGCTACAATCTGAATCTCTGTTCAGTTTAGAGTGGGGACATGACAAAACTTAAACCAGAGATACAACCTAAAAAGTATAAAATAGCTGGGTGAATTTTCATTTACTAGGACTACAGGAACTAGATTTCATCCAGGCAGTCCCTGTTGCCCCACACTTTCTCTCTGAAAACAGGACGGCTTGGGGTACTCAAGGGAAAAGACGTCACGCGCTTGTAGTTGCACAATAATGAAATTCATGTTGGTCAAATTCAAAGGAAGATATACAGGTGTGGCTTTAAGATGCGTAAAATTACTGCAGTTTTCAAATAAGGCAGGGGGAGGTATAAACAGTTGGTGATAGGCCCTTGTCCTCTGTGGAGAACACCAGTGGTATGACAGCAGCACCTGTATGTTAACCATCAAAATGAGATCAGGAAGTAAGCCCGTGGAGACACACTAAGTAACTCTACATTAGCAAGAGCTAAGTTTCTTAATATGGTTCGGCTGAAACAGGAGACAATTTGCCATATAGCCTCAGTAATCCCATTATGCTGTTATGAACAGCAGAAGAATCAACTGAATGCGAAAGTCTCATTCAAGCTGCAACATGCCTTTTAGAAAGGTACTTAAATGCTCAAATGACTCAATTCAATAAATAAATTTAAGCTCAACACTGCTAGTGCTATGTGCGTTAACACTGCTTCACATTCTTTCAGAGTAAGTATATTGGACTTGGGAACACCTACAGTACCATACCACATTACCTCTAAACCATTGGTCACATTGCCGTTGTATTTTAAACATACACCTCTTCAGGATTTGCTAATAAAATTTAGCAAGAAAATGTGAGTGTGTCATCACTAGCATCTTCATCCAATATCCAATCTACAAGCAAATGCAGGACACTTCAGAACTTCAAAGCCACTTGTACCTTTGAAGTAACATCTAGCTTTAACAGAGTTAGGCATCCAGTAACACCTAACTGGAGTAGATAAAAAACAATTAATATAATATGGCTAAGATTAGGCTCCACTGCCAGTCAGGTAAGTATGCACCAGAGTACGCTTTTGGAGATACGGAATGCAATGGGGAAGAGTTTCTATTCAGTTAAAATTAGTCTTCTGTAAATGCTTATTAGGAATTTCTATAGCGCTGACTTGGAGAGGCCAGGACCCACCAACGATTCCTGCTTGAATGGCTACACCCATTACAACTGCTAGATCGGGATCTACAGAGGTGTTAGGTTCCTTTCCAAAGAAATCCTGAATAACTTTGCGTATCTGAGGAATCCGGGTGGAGCCTCCAACTAACACAATTTCATCCACTTCTGCTTTGTGCAGGTGGCCTTCCTTCAACACCTGTTCAATGGGCACAAGAATCTTCTCAAAAAGGTCCTCATTTAACATCTCGAACAGCTTCCTAGAGATTTCTGTTTCAAACACAACTTTGACAAAGTTGTTCTCTGCTTTCGAAGAGTCTCCAAGATTTTTCAGATCTTTTGCTTTTTGTGAAGGCTTGCCTTTTAGCACACTGTTTGTTTTTACCTCACTTTCTGGAAGTTCTTTTGTAAGCTTCCCTTCTGGCATAGTCAACGACACCCTTAGCGTAGCTGCCTCATGAACAGTCAAATTTAATTTAACTGCTTCCACAGCCTGTCTGAGGCGATGTATTTCTTCTTTTCTTGTTGGCAAAGAACCATACATTTGATGGAGCTGATCATATAAATACAGCATCAACCTCTGATTAAAATCCTGTCCTCCGAGTTTGTTGTTACCTGAAACATCAGAACAGAAGGCATCAGACACATCACATTCAAAGCTTCAGAAAGCAGCACGCCATCTTCTCTTTTACTGGGCAGTGGTTTTTAAGGGCCAGAACGATGATACTAGGACTGTAAGCACAGAGCAAGACATCACAGAGCTGGGAAAACAGGCATAGTTGTCATCCACTGAAGAATGCATGAAGAATAGTGATTTCTAGATTTTTATTTAGCAACTACTTTAGAATTTATCCCCCTCAATGTTTTTCCCCTGAACTGGTCTGCTACACTGTAACAGAAAAAAGCAGTGGTTGTTAACTCAGAGGTATTCTCTATACAAGAAAATACTTAAGGATCAATTTCTAGCTGGAACCCTGTAACTGAAATGCAATCTCTCACAGCAAATTGTTTTTCCAGCTAAAATTCCAAGTTTCAAATTTCTCTGCCCAGAATGGATCTTTCTCTTAGCACTTCCAGAGTAAAGCTTCACAGGGATTATTGTTTTAACAGTTTCAAGTTATTCAATGTCTTTATACACCCACACGAAAAGGTACATGCTACTGAAGTATGTATGTATAACCTACCGAAAGTGGAAGAAAGTGATAAAATGCAAGCAGTGAACTTCAAGCTATATTAGCAGGCATATCTTATATTACCCTTCAGAGAGAGGGAGGAAAAAAAAAAAAGTATAATATTTAACCAATTTCTTCCGAAAGATTTTTCTTGCACCATGTTTCCAAAACCTTTCAAACAATTGTTCGTGCTTTCCATTCAACAGAGTTAAATGGCCTGCAGATTTTCATCTGTGTTGAACAGTACTCTCAAAGTTTCCACTGTTTTGTTTTGACTGAAAACACAAATTCACCTAGTAGATGTCCCTCTAAATAAATCAGAATGAAGCTGCTGAATATTTCTTGCTCTTCCACTCTTACTGGACCGAGCAGCAGCCCACATCAAAAACTTGTTCATTCAAGGCAACACAGACAGTTAGCACTGCATCTCCGACCTGTCTGAATCCAGGTCATCTGAAAAGCAGTTGTGTATTCACTACAGTTTTACGCAATACTGCTGCCAAAACTCTTTGCCAGGTGATGAATCACTTTGGCTCCAGCTCATGTGGGCAGGGTTTGGCAACACGCATGCTGTTAATGCAGAAGTAAGTTTTGTGTTTGGCATATACACATCACAATGCGAGGGTGCTCTAAAGCACTGGTCAATGATTTAGCAAATATTTCCAAGTTGGACAAAGGTAACAAAGATTCATAAAACCCCCAGCCCCCAAAAGTCCAGTCAAAGTAACTGTAATACACACCAGCACTTTTACTAGCAGGCACAAAAGTTAACAGCCATGGATAAAATGAAACCACAGTTTATTCCTTTGAGTCAGCCGAAACCTGTGAATTTATCTTAATCATTGAAACCAGTCACAAACTTCATTTTGCATGAAAGGCAGCTGAGAACACTTTTGGAGAACACTTTGTGACAAGACTGGTAGGTTTTAAAAAGCCCCTCTAATGGTGACTTCAGGTGCACCTTTCCTTTCCCCCCTGCTCTTTGAGAAAATAAAACATTTTTCTTACCTGCCATGGCTCGTGTGAGGAACATCCCTCCCTGCTTGTTCAACAGAGACACATCCAAAGTTCCTCCACCCAAATCCACCACCAGAACATTAAACACATCAGCTTTGTGGAGTCCATAAGCCATAGCTGCAGCTGTGGGTTCATTGATTACTCGCAAGATTTCTAGCCCTACAAACAGAAAAGATACCAAAACAGTCAGGTACACTGGAAAACTGCAGTTCTCATATCATAATGACATTTACCATTAGGTTGTTGGTTTTGTTTTTTTTTTTTGAACCAAACTTACTTTAAATAAAAGGTCAGATCTAAAGGAAATAGTTTTCTAAGCAATAATATTCAATGAACTCTTTTCCTTATTTAAGCCTAAAGTAATACTAATTCAGTATCAGGGCAAAGTCATGAACCATGATTTGCCCAAACACGTTTCTTCCAGAGAAACCTTGCTAAGGAGATTCATTTCACATGTTCTATTTCTGCTTAAATTATTGTCCAAGGGTGCTCTGTATAGTCTCTCTATTCGGAGATTACCAAAAAGACTATTTTCCCTGAAGTAAAACTTACTACTTCTAGCTATCTATGTCTGCATTAGTCAGCTGCACCTGTCAGTACCCAAGAGTTCTCTGCTGTTCCTCACAATTGGTAATGGTCCGTTAAAAAAAAAAAAATTCCATTCTAAGGCTCTCTATTACTGATTCACTGTTTCTATATCCTCCCCAAAGACTTTACTGTTAGTGAAATAGATCTAAAGATAATTTTAAGGCTTCATAGAAAAACACTGGAATACAGACATCACCTGCAAGGTTAGCTGCCTTAATGGTAGAATTCCGTTGCCTTTCATCAAACTCTGCTGGGACAGAGATGACCGCCTTTGAAATGGGCATGCCAAGACAGTCTTCTGCCATTCTTTTCAATTTCAGTAGTAGCTGAGAGCCAATATGCTCTGGAGTGATGCGAAAAGTTTCATTAGTTGTCACAGAAAATTCAGCTGATCCATTGTTGTTGAAAATCTAGGAGGAAAAAGCAACACAACCCACAGGTGAGAAGTCTTTTTCTTATGCTCTCCCACCCTGCTCCTGCTAAATGTTTTATTCACATATAGTCTGTTTATGCTGGAAAAATATGAATATGCTTTTGACACTTCCTGAATTACTTCTATTCCTTGACTACAAGTATTATGGAAAACATGCAACTTAAGGGGTCGCAGTATATCCAAAGTAGTGACACCCAATGTGCCCAGGTAAGACACATTAAAAAAAAGTTAAGACCTAGCAACTGCACAATCAACTTCAACACCACATTCAAAGATAAAAGCAATGCTTTTTAATCATCAGGTTTACCCTACTGATAAAGCTTCCCACAGGTTCTTCCTTCTGAAAGGAAGCAAACAGGTCAGTACTGGAACAGCTTCTCTTAACAAGTAAAAAATTCAAAGACTGTTTGCAGTACCTGAAAATTTGTCTCTCTTCAGCAAACACTGCACCATGCTAAATTAATGCAATGCATTTTTAAAAAAAGCAGCTTTCAAGATCTGCTGCTGGTCAAGTAAGGACTAGAAAAACACTAGGGAAAAAAAATGCAGTGGGACAGAGAAGACCTGACTTTTACTTTTGTTTGGTTTTTCATTTGTGGTTTGGTTTTTTTGGGTTTTTTTGTTGTTTTTTCTTTTTACATCTCAGGGAAAAAGTGACATTTCAGCAAAACACAGTTAGAATTTCAAATTGTAATTTATACTTTAAGAGAAGGGGCTGGAAGGTTACCCAGAAACACATTTCACAGTAGAGGACAGGGTTCTCTGGAAAATCACTGTCAGCTCCCTTGCAGAGGTATGCGGCTTCCACAACAGTTTCCTCCTCCCCTCTTTGGATACCTCTTATGGTTTTCAGGCATATCAGATTTAGCCAAATGACTCAAGGTCAGACAAGTTGGTCACCTACTACATGTTTCAAGCGTCCTACAGCTTACTGCTTGGAGAGAACTGAAGAAGATGTCTACTTACCTTAAAAGGATACCTGCTACTTTCACTTTTCAGTTCTTCTGAAGTGAAAATTTTTCCAATGAATCTTTTTGCATCATATATGGTGTTCTGAGGATTTGAATCAGCCAGTTCTAGGCCATCATATCCTACATACACATCTCTGTCTGTGAAAGAGACTATACTTGGGATGCTGTTGTGCCCATTTTCATCTGCAATAACCTTCACCTGCCCTGTTCCGGGAAGAAAGACACCAACAGAGCAGTAAGTCGTGCCAAGGTCAATCCCAATTACTTTCGGTGTAGGCATCGGTAAATATTGCTGTGCTAGATAGCCAGCTAGCAAGAGAGCCAGAATAGCTGAACCTGAAACACAGATTTTTAAAAAATAGGGTTAGAGTATCTACTGCTACAAACTTCAAAGTCAATGCAAATTACACAGCATTATACATTACATCTCATGCAGTTTCATTTCACGCTCTGAAGCCTGTTCAGCTACCTAACTAGTTTTCAATTTCTTCAAAGGTCACCAGCAAGTTCAGGTCTCTTAATTCACCAAAAGTGGTTAGAGACTCAAAAATCTTAGGCATTAAATAGTAAACTGGTTAAAAAAAGCCCGAAAGGTACAGCCAAGCAAAACCACATCACCACCCTGTAATAACTCTTTTTCTCTCTGCAAGGTACTTCAAATAGATAGGTTAATTAGTATTTTAGGGGGAACTGATTGCCTATAAGGGGCATCTAGTTAATGAGGCTGCACAAAAATCACAGTGAAATTAAAACCTCCCTATTCAAACATCTCCAACTTCACTGGAAGTCTAAAAACATACAAAACCATGCTGACTCCTCATATCTCAGTCATAGCTCCCAAAGACCACCTTCCCACACCTCTGAATCTATTCTATACCTTGAAATCAAGCAGTAGACTAGTTTAAGAGCAGAGTAGGTTGTGTTGTTTTGTTTTGGGTTTTCTTAATTTTACATATAATCAATAGACAAAGCAAGAAACACAAAAGTGTAATATAAAGCAATTCCTCAGAGGAGGAAAAAAAAGCACCAACAAACAAACAGAATCTCAAGAAGAAATCTAAATAGCTTAAATTACAAGGAGTCGATAAGCTCTCTTCCCTAGCAGGGAAGGGAGGTCACAGCTGTGCTTCAAACAGACTAGTGAGAAAGGGCAGGTTTACTCTTGGCCGTGAATCTCCCAAGGCATTTCTTAGCAATACGCCACTGAGCACTTCGGCTTTGCAGACAGAGGAACACACCGAACACGCCACATGAAGCCGTGCCATCCTGAAAAGCCCGTCCGGGGTGATAACGCTGGCAGAAAGACTGCGGGAGCCCCAGCAAAACCACACAGTGGCGGCCAGCGCCCACCGCCTGAGGCAGGGTGACGAGACC